CGGTGGCTCCTGTATGAGTCCCCATATGACCATGTGATTTCGTTGCCTTCCTTGACTCCTTTCTCTGCAAACAGGACCATCACTTGCGCAGCGACCTAGACGAAGAGGCCTCGTCGTAGCCGACGAAGAGGATGACGAGGAGGCCGCGGCTGCGCCTGCGGCGCCGGTGCGGCGTCGGGGCCGTCCTTCGAGGGCTACGGAGCTGCAGGCGGCGGACGGCACTCTCTCCCGTGCTGCAGAGGTGTGAACGGCGTCTCTTCACACCCGCGGGTGTGAACAGGCGGAGGTGGAGGCGCTGCTTACCCCGCCGCCGCCGCCCCTCTCCTCCTCCGCCGCGGCAGCGGCCGCGGCGTTTCGCACCGCTTACCCCTCCGCCGCCGCCTCTCCCAACGGAGGTTCTGCCACCTCCGCCGCTGCCACTGGCGCCGCCCCTGCCACTGCCACCGGCGGCGGCGGCAGCGGAGGAGGGGAACGGGGTGGAGAGTGGAGAAGTGCTTCGTTCCGCCTCGGAGTGAGGTACGGGGGAGGCTGGGCAACGCACGGCGCTCCTCAGTCTATAGAGGCTTCGCGCCGCGCCGGCCCAGAGAGGGCGGCGGCGGCGGTCGCGGCAGCGGTCGCGGCAGGCGGCGGCGGCGGCAGCGACGAGCCTTCGCCGGCACCTAAGAAGCGCCGCGCGGCCGCGGAGAGGGCGGCGGCGGCGGTCGCGGCAGGCGGTGGCGGCGGCGGCGGCAGCGACAGCGGCAGCGACAGCGACGAGGGCGACGAGGACGACGCGGAGGCGTCACCGGCGGCGGCGGCACCGGCGGCGGCGGCGCGCTCTAGATGCGATACGTTCTTGAGCAGTTGGTCCGAGGCTTGCCACGCCCCTCTCCCCCCCGCGGAGCTGAGGGGCGTCTCCGCGCGGAGTCGCGCGAGCGCGGGGCCCTCTCTATGCCTTCTTCCACCTCACTCCCTGCCATCAGCACGCTGGCGGTCCTACCACAGAGGATGGTATGGCTGGTGGTGGGCAGGACGCACGATCAGCGCGGCACTTGTGTGTGCTCACACGGCCACACTGCGGGGAGGGGGGGGGGGGATGCCCGAGCCATGCACGTGTGTGCGTCTGTGCGTGTGTGGGACTGACGCTGCTCTCCTCTGCGCGGGGCTC